ATCACTAATTGTTAATTGAATTGAAATCTCTAATAATAACGGATTCTTGTACATTTCAAGAATCCCGTAAACAATTAATTCAGTTAAAAAAATTAAACCTTCTGTACTTCGATTAGCACGCAATTTTTCCACTAAAGTAACCTTTCTAATTTGAACATAAACAAGTATAAAAATCTGATGTGTCCAACACATGACTTTCCTATCTAGGTATTACAGGCTTTTTCCGGTTATTTTGTACAACCTATTGCAGCATCTCTATAAATGTTTAGAGGATAAACTAAATATATACATTGTCCACATACATACATCTACCGCGAAACATTTTTCTATAGATATTCATTGAAAATGAAAATACTGAAAAATTTAAATTTGGCACTTTTCCTACAATTTTTCCATTACGGTCCATTTTAAAAAAATCATGTATAAACAAATATTATAGAGATCGATATCGCAAACAACTTTTATTTCAACAATATTCATAAAAATCAGAATTTTGCACATTTTGTCAAATTTTTCGAATACGGACCATTTCAGGAAATTTTTACATAAAGCAAAAATTATAGATAATAATATTAGAAGTAACTTTTATTTGAACAATTTTTTTCTTCAAACATAAATAACAGATATATTCCATAAAATATAAAAACGGCCTCCCATAAAGTACCCCCCCAGATGTTCCGACTTTGTCCAAAATCTAATCATTTCACGTCAGGCCGAAATAAAACTTAAGTTTAAAATTTAATGTTTTTTTCTTTATCCATTTTTGAGTTTTCTTCAAATTTCGAAATTTACACATTTTCTCAAATATCTCGAATACGGTCCATTTTAGAGAAATTATCTATAGGATAAAAATTATAGAGAATTATATTGCAAACAACTTTTGTTTGAACAATTTTTATAAAAAAAAATATTTTTTTACATTTTGTCAAATTTCGCGAATACGGACCATTTTAGGAAAATTTTGTATATAACAAAAATTATAGATAATAAAATAAGAAGTAACTTTCATTTGAAGAATTTTCTTCCCCAAACGTAAATAACAGATATATTCCATAAAATATAAAAATGACCACCTATAAAGTACCCCCCCAGATGTTCCGACTCTGCCCAAAATCTGATCAGCTCATGAGACGTTGGAACAAAGCTTAAGTTTGAAATTTGGTGTTTTTCCGTGTATCGGTTCATGAGTTATGCGTTATACAGACACACACACACACACACACACACACACACACACACACACACACACACACACACACACACACACACACACAGACACACACACACACACACACACACACAGACACACATACACACACACACACACACACACACAGACATCATCGCGAAAATAGTCAAAACGGATTCAGGGGACCTCAAAACTTAAAAATCCGTCGAAAACTCGAGGTCGAAAAAAATCATGATTCCTATACTTTCCTTATATCTGTATACAGATAGGAAAGTAAAAATTAGAGCGAACTGTCAAAAGAAGAGCTTCAAAAAGTAGACGTCCCACAATTTTCTGTGTGAAAATGATTCATAAAAATTCAAATTTAAAATTTTTCAAAAAAGCAACACGTTTTTATGAACATATGCTACATAATAACTAAAGAGTAAAGAAGAGGTTTTTTTTTTCTGGGCTCGTATGACTATGTGTCTCCGAATAGCACTGAAGCCTATTGGCTTATTGTGTTTTACCCCATGTTAGTTCATAGCACCCACTCTATCACCTTTGTACCTTGTACAAGTTTGTACAGATCCTTGGGTGAGTGAGTTCTATACGTTGTTGGATCAACCTGGGGTTGTCCAAAAAGAGCCTGTCTTTTGCGATCTAGAGCTTCGCATTCGCACAGTATGTGTTTGGCCGTTTCTGGTTTCTTGTGACATAGTCGGCACATGAGTTCCCCATTGTACATGCCAATTTTGTTCAAGTGTCCCTTTACTGGGGCGTGCCCAGTCATGAACCCTGTTATCACTTTCAACTGGTTCCTATTCATTAAGAGTAGTTCTCCAGTTCTTTTGGGACATGGTCTGCCTATGAAGGCTTTTCCATGTGCCTGTTTTGGGGTGCTTCCCCAATAGTTGATATGTTGTTCCCGAATCCAGTCATTTATAAAACCCCGGACTGTACTTTTTGGTACTCCTGGGTTTGCGTCTGGTTCCGGTGTTTCTTCGGACCCTCTTTTTGCACGTTCGTCAGCTTTTTCGTTGCCTTCGATTCCTTTGTGACCTGGCACCCAAAATAGTTTTACTCTATTTCGGTCTGCCAGTGTTCTTAGTTCTTCGATGCATTCCCATACCAGCCTCGACGTAACTTTCTGACTCGATATGGCCTTAAGTGCCGCTTGGCTGTCTGACATTATTTGAATATGCTGATTTTCGACAGCTCTTTCATTGTTCGTTTTTGCAGATTGCAAAATTGCGTATACCTCGGCCTGAAATACCGAGGATTATATTCCTATAGCATAGCTATGGTTAGTATCAGGGTTTTTGGAGAATATTCCTGCCCCAGTGCCTTCCGCAGTCTTAGACCCGTCTGTATACCAGGTTTGTTCCTGTCGTTGGGCATTGGGCTCCCTTATGGTGATCTCCGCTCTTTCCTGTATTAAAACCTCAAAGGGAGTATTAAAAGAGTAGTACCTCTTGGTTATGTGGTCTGATCTCATGTCTAGCACGTCTCCTGTCACTAACCTTGAGATACTCATGTGACCTGGCCTAATGTCAAGATTTCCCAGTGTATTCCCTAATCTGTAAGCACCTAATCTTGCCTCCCCTTGTATCACATAGTGAAGAGGTGGGAGTCCTATTAGTGCTTTCATGGCAGCAGTGGGGGTTGTTTTCATTGCCCCTGTTATTCCGAGGCAGGCAAGTCTTTGTACCTTGCTTAGCCTCGTTATTGCTTTCCTTTGCTGTGTCTTTGGCCACCACACCAAAGCTGCGTATGTTATTATGGGTCTCACCACCATGTTATAAAGCCAGTATATCATGTCTGGTTTTAACCCCCATTTTTTTCCAAAGTATCGCCTTGCCATCATTAATGAGGTTTCCGCTCTCCTTGTGGTTCTTTCTAGATGCTGGTTCCAGGTAAGTCTCGAGTCAATCATAACCCCGAGATATTTTACCTCCCCCTTAAGCTGGATGCTTGCACCTCTTAGGTTTAGAGGCCCTAGTCTCTCCAATTTCCTCCTGCGGGTGAATGCAATTATGTCAGATTTGTTTGGGCTAATGTTTAGTCCTTCCGCCTCTGTCCATTTTGTTACTATATTTAGAGCCTCTAAAAGAAGAGGTTAAAATTTTCTCTATTAAAATTACTCTTACAAGTTCAAATTTAAAAGGAATTTGTTTTTTCAATGAAGCAATCTTTTTTGTTTTGAACATAAAATGTATACAAAAGTAGAGGCTTTAAAAAATTTAAAAAAATAATCGTCCAACAATTTTCTATGTGAAAATGACTGAGTGAACTTCAAATTTAAAATTAAATTTTTTCAATAAAGCAATCCTTTTTTATGAACGTAAGCTGTATAAGATTTACAAAGTGAGCTGTCAAAATTTTCTGTGTGAAAATGACTTTTAAAAGTTCAAATTTAAAATTAGACCAATCTCTTAATGTTGGGGACCAATTCTCAAACCATATTTTAGCATCACCCAATAAAAAGGGTTCAACTCTTACCAGTATCTGCAGATCTTACCACTCAAATTTCTCTTTATCTTTTCAAACTATTGTATCCAAACTTTAAAATTGTCGGCATCTGACCAAAATAAGAACAAATCCACTTGTTTTTGGAGTTGTTCTGCTGTTTTTGGAACTGAGCAACATCTCTTCGGATAAATCATCCTTGATACACTTTTAGACACTTCGTTTTAAATGTGATAACGTGAACAGAAAAAAAGTAAACGGCTATCAATTTAAAGCACTTACTTGAACAATCAATAGAAATATCTTCTAACTTTTTTTTTAAAACTTTAATCTTAATAATTTTTTCACCAACATTTTTTTCCATTTTAACAAAATTCACTTTTATAAATTTAATATCGAAGTGTACACTCACACACTAAAAAGCGTAATAAAGTATGGGTGATGTGATAGGACAGGAAATTGTTTTGTTTTCTTTAAAATAGTGTACGCTTGCATAAAATGAAGCAACTACATGTGTGTTCTATCAGGACCGAACCAGGAAGTATAATAAACCATTTACATTAACATTAATGAAATTTACTCAAACATTTTTGTCAAATAGTAAAACGCCTTTAATTAAAGAATTTAACATATATGAAACTTTTGATGCTAGAATTGCTGATTGGAGTAAAATTTCGATATTTTTCTTGGAAATTAAAAGTATAATTTCTGCTTAAGCCAAATGGTGGGCAAAAAACGATGGGTACACATAGAAAAACTTATAAAAATTAAGAGAAGACTTGTGAAAGCTGCATTTCGTTCAAAATATAATGAAACACCTGGTATAATAAATACAGTGAAATCCTGAGAGTTTAAAGCGTATTTATAATGGTAATTTTGATAGAAGTTTAAATTTAACAGTGTAAATCAAGTGTGATTTTGAAAATTTTTAGATAATTCGTTAATGAAAGTTCTTAGATAATATTTAAATTGAAATTTTTTTAATTGTATGTTAACAATAAGTTAATGTCGTAAGTTTTCATAAAGCATGGCATATTAAGTTTAATTTTTAAAGTTTAGAGTAAGGCAGATTCAAACTTTCCAAAAGCTATCAATAAATATTTAACAAACTTGCAAGGAAACTTGCATTTATATTTGTAAGCTTGCAATAAATTTGCAGCCAATATATTTTGCTTAGTGAGAAAGGTCCTCGTAAATAGATAACTTAAATTAATACCTATACATTTTCAGTTTTTAGTACCTATATAACTAAATAATACATTTAAATTCAGAAGAAAGTCATTCAGCTCATATAATTTATTAAAATTTTCATCCCTTGAAGCCTACCCTCGTTCTACGACAGGGGATTCTAACCCCTCTGATGATCGCTATGGGGTCGCATCTGTCAATTTTTCAAGTCTAGTTTCTTGTTTAGTGCCGCTCGGTTATTAGTTTTAGTTTACGTTTAGGATTAACATTTAGTTTTATTAAACACCAGATATGTATTTATTAAAATAAATAAACAAAGCAATAATTAATGTGTAAATAAGTGGAATCGGTAAAACAAGTGAATAAGCTGCATACAACTTGATTTCCTTGGTTAACTTTGTGTAGTTACATATAATATATGTGGTTATTAGTTAACAAACAAAAACAATTCGTTAGTGATAAAAAACTTGTGATAAATATTAAAAATGTGCTATTTTATAACCTATAACCCTCATTAACCAAAATTTAAGACTTTTTTTAATTTTATTCCAAAATCACGATTAATTTCTAAACTCTAGTTTTCCAATTTAATTTTTACCTTCGTGTACCTATTATACATATAATTGTATTTCTTAAATAAAAAAAAATGAAATCTTTTGATTGTGAGTCCTCTTCAGAAGGCGATGAATCGACAATGCATGCCATCTCACGAGGGGCGGTGGAACCGCCACAGTGGCTGAGGAGCGGCGGTCCAAATTGGGGTTGGCAAGCTGCAGTAAGTAAAACTCATGTAGGTCTCTTTATTATATTTTATAATAGAAATTAAATATTTTTTGTAAAACAGGTAGGTATATATCTAGGCCAGTCAGTAAAGGCATCTTATTTTGAACATTTCACATTAATTACGAAAGTTTCCAAACTTTGCAATAATAATCGGCTAGTTTAAATAACACTAAGTTTAAATTTGCAACCATTTCCAAGATCCGGAACTAGTTAATTTATACCAAAATGGCGCTTTTGTTTTTAATGTTGAGAAAAAAACTAGAAACAATATATATTGTATTATTTTCAACATTATATCAGATTTGCGACTTTTTTAAAAGTCTGTAACCTGATTTTTTTTTGTAAGATAGCGTTTTAGTTTATATCATAGAAAAACAAATTGCAAAAGTGCTGCAAACCAATGACATAACTCATACAAGTTTTTGGAACAGCTATTCCAATTTGCAACCTTTTATTTTGCATGAAAATATCTTGCAAATTTTAATATTATTTTTCTTAAAAATCTGGTAAATTTGCAACCTCGAACAAGGTTCGGAATCTTGAAAAATTAACAAAAATTGACAATTCGCACATTTTCTAATTGCCAAAAGTCTTGAAAAGTATTGCAGATTTTACAAAACGATTTAAATACCGTCCTTGCTTGTTATATTCCATCTAGAAACAGAAAATTCACACAGCCTAAATTCTGCATTTTCTATTTATAGTGCTGTAGCTATATGTGAAGCTTTACTATATGTCAAATCGATTAATCGCAACAGTGCAATACTAGTTTCCAATTCTCTATCTGTTTTAAAGGCCTTGGAAGATACGAAACTCCCATCTGTTAATTGTAACCCATATATCTTTAAAATTAAAAAACTCGTCGCAGAGTTATCTCTAACTGATACACTAATTCGTTTCTTGTGGATAAAAACTATTTCGGTCTGCACTGGTTGAAACTCAAAAAGATCTTATATAATTAATATTTTATAAATTAACTGAGTAAACAGAACCGTTGTGTTTTATTACTTTCCGCCTTTGATTGATCCGCATTTTATGATGCTGCCGTTATATTTGCTGTTGTCAACTTTGAGATATATTACATGATACGAGTTCGCGCATGACGTATTGTGGTGTGGAATATGGATGATTGGCAATGAGCTGATTAAAATTTATTTTCGCGCGCTGTTTTGCATCACCACAATATGTCGCCATGATGTAGTATCAATAGGCGTAATATAATGTTCTTTTTATAGTATCATAGATATATTAAAAGTTTTCTCTTATTCACTTCAACGATCTTATAAACAGACTGGGATAAGGTATGCGAATTCTTCTCAGTTAAAATCTTAAATTTTTGCAAGAGTTTCTACTTTTAAAATAACTGAATAATATAATAGAACAAACAAACGAAGTTGCGTGATATTTTATGAACCCTGACATCAGATATTTAAAAATATTTGAATTAAATCACAGACAATGACAAACGAGACACAAAATGTATTCTGTTGTTCGATGAGATGACAAGTAAGAAAACCATCGAATATGATAAAAAATTAGATGTCATTGAAAGGTTTGAAGACTTCGAGAACAACAAAAGAAAGCCAATTTTTGCCGGACAAGCTTTAGTGTATTGTACCAATAAAAAATTCCAGTAGCTTTTTTTCTAACCCAATACGGTGTCGACGCTTAATTCCTCGAAACTATTATTATTAAAGTTTTAACACATATTCGAGACTCAGGTTTGGAACCTATGGGGAGAGTGTGTGATTTATCTACAGTTAACCAAAAAAACTATAGATCTTTGGGCATTACTGTAAACAACCCTAAATTTGCCATAGTAGAAAACAATTACTTTGCATTTTTTATGTGCCTGACCTAGTAAAATGCAGTCGAAATAAGCTTTTACAATATTATTTTATCTTGAATGCAAATTTATCAGATTCGTTGATGTTAAATAGGTTTATTAACTGGACCAACGTAGTAAATAGGTCTAGCAGAAAATGAATATGTCAATAAACTGGCTGAAGATAGTATTAATGTTGGAAATCCACATCCAGACTACAACTTATGCGTGGGTGAATACTTTGTTACTCTTAAAACCAAACTACATTTTATGTGGTCGCATTCATGGAGTGTATCTTCTTTCACTAACCCAATAAGATACACATTGTTACATCCGACCAGACCTACAAAATATTGGCACAAGCAGTTTAATATTCCTCGCAGATTTATCACAACAATCATTAGAGTCAAATTTGGACACGCATGTTACCCCCAACATCTTTCTCGTATAAATGTTATACCTAGTGACAACTGTGAACACTGGAGGTAAAGGTGATCTAGATCACATTTTTTTTTTAATGCACAACGTATCAGAATCTGTCAAATGAATTATATAAAAAACTGTGCAACGTAAATATAACTGCTCCTTTTAACTTATTGTAAATTTTGACTTCATCTAAAAAAAATTTTGATTGTTTGATAGAATTTTTGTCGAAAGCAGATATAAGATTGTAGTAGATTTGTTACCTTTGTTATTGACATATCCTAGTTACCTTTGTTATTTTACCCTACCCACACTGTGGTCTATTTCTAGCAAGGGCAGCTCCAGGGGGGAGGGGGGAGGGCATAGGGACCATCCCCTTTCCCCGAGTTGAGAAATTCATACGATTTATGGGCCTTTTAGTCAAAAAAATATGCTAAAAAGGGAATGGCTAAAGGCAATGGCCTTCCCCGAAAATTCGTGTTTGAGTCGCCCTTGATTTCTAGTGTGTCTTGAAAAAAATGTCCCTGGACGAGAAACGAGTGTCTAAATACCAATTTTTCTACCAATATACCTATTTCTGATAACCGATAACTGCATATTTAGAAAATTTTCTTACTAAAATTTCTGTACGTTAATATATAATATATGCCTGCTGTTAGGGTCGTGCTCGCGAACGTTAACGTCACATTGACGCAAATGTAATTTATAATTAACAAGCAACGCTTCTTGTCTTCTGTCCCGAAGCAAGGCAGAGTAAATTCGTCTTAACCCCTTCGATTCTAGATCGATTTCGCTATTTACAATATTATACCAGATTTGCACACATTTTTTTTTTATTTCTGTTTTTAGGTAGGTATTTACTTATGATACAAAGATAGGGTTATAAAAGACAAAAAATAAATAATAATTTGTTATCATGCAAGAAACAATAGTTATTTATTTATACCCAGCATGACCTTGAGAGCACCAATCAGAAATTTACTCCTACTACAAAATTCGAACATACTATCAATGAAATTATTATACTGACCCATGAAAGCAGCATTTGTGTGTTTAGTAAACATGGTAGAGTTGGACACTATGCATCTGTTTCCATTATGGCAACATGGTAGCGAATGGGTTAAGAACAGAATATAAGTACGAAAAAAGATGTAAATTTATACCTATATCTTATTTACAGTTTGTGAGGAAGAAGAGAAAATACTGGGTATATCCTTACTTAAATTCCAGTTTACTAAAGGTTAGAAGGTGCTTTCATATTAAGCCTTTTGATACAAGAAATAATGATGAATATCTAGGGATGGCCTATTTTCTTAAATAAAAAAGTTTAACTTTAATATATTCAACATGCATAATTCAACACGTGTGTAACCACAGGTCTCTTCGCAAACCTCTTACTTAAGCTTCCAGACATGGAATAAATGATTGACACAAATAAATAAGAGGTACCATCTCGAACAATGGTTTTCAGAAGAAACCAAAAGTGTTACCACCTTAAAATTGTTTATGACCCGAAGGGTATGCAACTCTTTATACAATAGAGATGGTGAACTGGTAGCCTATATACAATGGAATACTATAAGTACTATAAATATATTTTTTTAATTATGTTCGTATGATTATATGCTCATTGATGAACTGAATTTAATGTTTAAATAAAATAAGATAATTTATGAATGTTTCTTTATTTCTTTTAGAATAATTATGTGTCGAAATGCTCATCGCCCATAACTACTACAACTATGTTTTTCTACCACCTTTCGTGTGTAATTCTTGATAGAAACTAATATATCTTGGCAACGCCAATATACCGCTGAGACGTGGCGTCGAGAAGGTACTTTCTGACTTAATTAAATATATTTCGATGCCACCGACCGTTGCGTCGTCGCGACTGCAACAAACGTTCGCGAGCACTGACCCTTAAAATATGGATATTACTCGGGATGTTATTTCATCTTGTAAATCTGAACCTTGTATCGTCGTGTTGGAAGAATAACGTTATAAATGCTGAGTCCCCAATTGTTCAAGACAAGCAAATTAAATTTCTCAAAAATTTGAATTACTTATAACTGTTTTATTTTTAGCGTTAAGGATCTAAATTTGTTTTACCATCATCATGATTATGTGATCAAGTGTACCATAATTTTTAAAGTTACTTTCCTGGGAAATTATGGTAAATTATGTTTTTCTACGACCGTGTATTTTTACCCACTTTCCCGCACGCATTTTAGTTTTGAAAGTGTCACTTTCCCGCACTAGTGCGGGAAAAAATCACTTTCCCGCACTAGTGCGGGAAAGTAAAATTATGAATATTTGGCCTTACCTATTGTATAGTTTTTTACCTCGGATGTTATAACTATTGTTACAATAGGTAATTTAGTATTTTCCAACTATTCCATTTATTAAAATTTACTTTTTTTCTTGCTTTTTGTTATAATTTTAATTATTTGGAAAACTTGAATAATAGAGATATTTTTATATACCTTCTGTATATTTTTAAAAGTCAGACTAGGCTGTGACATGTATGGCTTGATATTTATTTATTTATTTATTTATTTATTTATTTATTTAATACATCCAACAGGCTTTATCAGCCCAATTACAGGAGTATATAATATAATATTTAAAAATACAAAGTTTGAGAATACTTACTTAACTAAATTACATTCTAATTACCTAATTTGATACCAATCTGTAACATTGCTCTCTAAATTGGTAAAATTTTAGAAAAAATATATCAACAGAATACTGATTAACAC